AATATCAAAGAGTAATATTAATATATGGAGTGCTTTCTGACTACATAATGTTTGACTTAGAAGGAGATAGTGATTCTGATAGTAAAAAAATAACTTTGGCTTCTGGAAATTAACAAACAATGGATAAATACATTATTTTTTTAACTTGTCTTAAATTATGTAAGTTATAATTTTAGATCCCAGTTTTAGATTTTGTATTATTTTTAAAGATTAGGTTCTTGGCAGTATGAAATTGTATTATAATCAGATTAAACACACACTCTCATGAGGAAGATAAGGCAGATAAAAAATGATGATAATAGTTGAAGAACAACTTACTGACTTGGATTTGCCTAATTCCTCTGACATTGGCCAATTGTAGAAACTAGTTTCCTCTTGAGTAGAATCCTTTAGAGTTTACCAGAGCTGGTTCAGATGTGACATATCCTAGAATTTATCCACACACCTAGACACACACCGTACCCTGGTTTGTCAGCCTCTTATGGGGCATATTAAATTTAATTGGCAGTATTTTTTATTACTAATATTATCACTAAATTCAAGTTTAGTAATGCAAGTGAAAAAAGTTGTTTTTTTTTTTTTTTTTTTTTTTTTTGAGACAGAGTCTCGCTTTGTTGCCCAGGCTAGAGTGAGTGCCGTGGCGTCAGCCTAGCTCACAGCAACCTCAAACTCCTGGGCTCGAGCGATCCTGGTAGCTGGGACTACAGGCATGTGCCACCATGCCCGGCTAATTTTTTATATATATAATTTCTTTCTATTTATAGTAGAGACGGGGTCTCGCTCTTGCTCAGGCTAGTTTTGAACTCCTGACCTTGAGCAATCCGCCCGCCTCGGCCTCCCAAGAGCTAGGATTACAGGCGTGAGCCACAGCGCCCGGCCGTGAAAAAAGTTTTATCTTAATTGTACTTATTGAAAATAGTTGGCTAATTTTGTGCAAATTGGTATTTTTACTTCATTAGTTATTTCTTTCTCAAATAATTTGTCCTATATCCTGTCCTCATTCATTTAGCAAATGCTTAATGAGTATCTACTACTGTGTGCCAGACTGTGCTAGAGGCTGCATTGAGTGATAAATAAAATGGAAGCAGGCTCTGTTCTTAGAGAACGTAGTCTTGAGATGGAGGCAGAGGAGAACTACAGAGTGCTAGGGGAGTACAATAGATCCTTGAACAACTCGGGGGTTAGGGGTGCAGACCACCTCCCCGTTAGCAGTCAAAAATCTGAGTATAACTTTAGAAAAAAAATGTTTGTGCTATACACATTCAGAGAAACTTCTCTAGTAATGAACTATAGAAATGATCCCTGAAAGTAGTCTTTGTAAGTATAATTTTGGACTCCTCAAAAACTTCACTAATAGCCTACTGTTCACCAGATGCCTTACCAATAATATAAACAGTCAATTAACACCTATTTTGTACGTTATATTTATTATATACTGTATTCTTACAATAAAGTAAACCAGAGAAAAGAAAATGTTATTCAAATCATACGAAGAAAAAATATATTTACTGTTCATTAAATGGATCATCATAATGGTCTTCATCCTCATTGTCTTCATTCTGAAGATGTTGGCAGAGGTGATATAGATGGAGGAGGTAGAAGGGGAAGCAGGAGAGGCAGGCAAATGTGGTATAACTTTTATTGAAAAAAATCTGGGTATATGTGGACCCGTGCAGTTCAAACCTATATTGTTCAAGGGCCTATTGTATTAATATAAAACAGGGTAGAGAATCTGTCTTTGGGAAGGCAGTGGACCACCCAAAGGAAGTAACATTTTAGTGAGACCCTAAAGATGAGGACCTGTGCAAGTTGGGTAGATAAGTTTTCTAGACAGAAGGTGCAAATGCCCTGAGGCAGGGTAAGAGAGGCAGAGAGAGAGAGGCTTTTGAAAAACAGAATTGAAAGAAATCCGAAATGGCTGGAAAGTAGAAAAGCAGGCAATGAGGCAGATTTAGGCAGGGGCCAGGTCTTGAAAAGGCTTAGTAGGCCATCTGCTGGGTTTTTGAACTTGTTCTAAGTCTCCTGGGAAACTATTGAAGGTTTTAAGCAGGGATGTGACATGAAATGAAGTGCTACAAAAAAACCAAGAGTTTTAGCTCAATGGAACCTTGATAATTTTACCAAAAAGGTCATAATCTCTGCAAGGTAAAATATTCTTCCCTCATCTCATTAAAATTTTTGCAACTGCTTCCTTGATTGATTGTCATCTGTGGTATTCTTTTCGTTGTTTTTATAGACATTATCTTTAATTTTCTAAAGGCTCCTTTTCTTTTATCCTTCAGCATTCTATTAACCTTATATAGGAATGTCATTTCTATTTATAACCAAATTAAAATATTTTCTCCAACAATTTTAGCTCTCTTCCATAGTTAAACTTGAAATTATTTGCTGGTCCCCTCCACCACCCTTAAGCTGCTCAAGGTATTTAACATTCTAACAAAATGTTTCATTAAATGTCAATGCTAATTTGGCTTTTATTCTTTTGTTTTTTTCCAAATACAATGTCTTAGGTCTAGGTTAATATTTCTCAGCATTTATCCTATTTCATATTTTATGAAATCACATTTGAGCACCTACAGTGTTTTCAGAGAATTTGTTAATATTGTATAGGAGGACTAATCTTCAGCAAGAGTACCATTTTCAAATCTGGCTCATATTCGGTGGCTTTATCTTTTATATTAAACTGGTCTCTGTCAAACTTTTTATGTTCAAGTGAGCTTATGTGTATGAAGTGCTGTAAAGGTGTTATTTTGTATATCCTGATGTATTTCTTTCTTCTATAGTAAGCATCCCTACATGCTAGGTTTTTGGGGAAACCTTTAACCATGCTAAATCTTTGCTTGTTTTGATGATTGAGCATTCCTTCAGGTCTTCCTTGGTGTAAAGTTGTTAGTCCGTGCCTGTATAGAATGCTGTTGCCTGCTTTTTCCCTCCACATATATAAAGAATAGCCACAGCACCACCTCCTTCTTCAGATTCTTCCTTTGGAGTCTACATTTTGATGCAGCCTTTAACTTAGCTCACTTTTGCTGTGAGTTCTTAGGCTTTTCTGAACTATTCTATACCTGCTCTGTATTCTGTCCTTGTTGGTTAATCTTTTTTTTTTTTTCCTGGCACTAGTGACTTGAGTTTGCAATTGGCTCGGGTCATTACTTTTTTTCACTTTCTATCCAGCCCAGTGCATTTATTTTAAAAGAGTTGCCTCATTTCAGATTTTAGAGTTTGGAATTGATGTGCTAGTAGTTTCTCTAACATCCAGAGATATTGTCCTTGGTTTAGAGTTGTGTTTTTAAGTGCAGAATTGGTAAAGAAAGTACATACTAGTCTTTCTTTGGCTGACTTTAGGTTAGGGTAATGGTTTGGGTATCTTGGTGTCTGTTATTGTACAGGCAACTTAAAGGGTATTGTCATATGGTAAATGATGGGGATACAAAGAGAAGCTATGGTGTTCTGCCCTTATGGAGCTTGTAAACCAGTAGAAGAGATAGAAAACAATGACTAAAGTACCGTGCGGGGTGATATTCATGTTCAGATGGAAATACAGGTTTCTGGTATTCTAGGCCAGAAGAGCTACACTTAACACTGACTTAAAGAGACTATGAAAGGAAATGATTTCTTAGTGCTTGTGAAGAGTCTTAAAGGAGGCCCAGAACACCAGGTGAGGGGGAAGGGGTTTATAGGCAGAGGATGTATTCAATGACACAGGTCTAAGAATGGGCATATAAAGCTGGGAGAATTGCAAGAAATAGCATGAATTTATGTATTACATGCATTGCTTTGATGGTTGTACCCCACCTACATCATAGGATCTTGATTTTCTTTCTTTATATGGCCTTTATTCTGTCCAGTTTGGCCTTTACCTGAGAGTATATAAAGGAAATACTAAAATCAGAAGTTTAAGTAGGGGTAGGCTTTAGGAAAAATGGATAAGCAGGTGGTATCTGTTTTCTACTATAAACTCCATGGAGTGTTGATTGTTGCAGCCTCAGCATGTAGCACATTGGCCTGCACATGGGAAATGCTCGATAAATACTTTTCTTATCAAAGGTGCCTTTCTCCCACCCCCATCTTCTCAGAGGCATGAGCCACGGCGCCCAGCCTGGCAATTTCTTAAAATAGGACAATAATGATGTTTGCCACATTGATTGACATTTTCTTTCATGAAAAATTTGTCTATAGTGTGCAATGCTGTTTGATAGCATTTTAACCACATTAGAACTTCTTTTAGGCCAGGCACGGTGGCTCACGCCTGTAATCCTAGCACTCTGGGAGGCCGAGGTGGGCGGATCCTTTGAGCTCAGGAGTTCGAGACCAGCCTGAGCAAGAGCAAGACCCCGTCTCTACTGTAAATAGAAAGAAATTAATTGGCCAACTATATTTTTATAGTTGGCCAATTAATTTGCTCAGGCAGCACTCCTGCCCTGAGCAATCCTCCCACCTCGGCCTCCCAGAGTGCTAGGATTACAGGTGTGAGCCACTGCGCCAGGCCGGTAAATGAACATTGGCTTCAATTTAAGATCACCCTAAACAAGAGTTAGCCTGTCCTTTGAAACTTTGGAGCCAGGCACTGACTTCTCTCCAGCTATGAAAGTCCTAGATGGCATCTTCTTCCAATATAAGGCTGTTTTGTCTACATAGAAAATCTGTTCCATGTAGCCTCCTTCATCAGTGATCTTAGCTGGATCTTCTGGATAACTTGGCTGCAGCTTCTCCATCAACACTTGCTGCTTCACCTTACATTTTTCTGTTATGGAGACAGCTTCTTTCCTTAAACTTCGTGAGCCAACATCTGCTAGCTTCCAACTTTACTTCTGCAGCTTTCTCACCTCTCTCAGCCTTCATAGAATTGAAGAGAGTTAGGGTCTTGCTCTGGATTAGGCTTTGGCTTAAGGGTATATTGTGGCTGGTTTGATCTTCTATCCAGACCACTAAAACTTTCTCCATATCAGCAATAAGGCTGTTTTGCTTTCTTCTCATTCATGTGTTCACTGGAGTAACACTTTTAATTTTCTTCAAGAACTTTTCCTTTGCCTTCACAACTTGGCTAACTGGCCCAAGAGGCCTACCTTTCCACTTCCTTCAGCTTTTGACATGCCTTCCTCACTATGCTTAATCATTTCTAGCTTTTGATTTAAAGTGAGGGACATATGACTCTTCCTTTCACTTGAAGACGTAGATGCCATTGTAGGTTATTAATGGGCCTAATTTCAATATTGTGTTTCAAGTAATAGGGAGGCCTGGGAAGAGGGAGAGAGACAGGGAATGGCCAATGGGTACGGTTTGTGGTGCCCCAAAACAGTTACAGTAAGTAGTAACATCAAATATCACTGATCTCAGATCAACGTAACAGATATAATAATAATGAAAATGTTTGAAATATTGTGAGAATTAGCCAAAATGTGACATAGAGATACAAATTGAGCATGTGCTGTTGGAAGAATGGTGCCAATAGACTTGCTCAGTATAGGGTTGCCACAAACCTTCAATTTGTAAAAGACACAATAGAACGAAGTGCAATAAAATGTGGTATGCTTGTACTTACCATAAAGCAGAACTAATATTCTCCGAAAATGTTGCTTGTCAGTCATGTGGCTTCACACACCCCTAGATTACTCCTTATGTCCCTTAAATTGGGAAACTGGCTTTAAATATGTTACCACATTGAGGTAAAATATTTGGATACAATGACATCACCAAAAAAATTAACCATACAATAGCTGGTTAGTTACCTGGTTTTTTAGCATGTTGTAGTAGACTTTTGCCATTTTGGTTTGCCCAGTGTTTTTAAGTTGATGATTTCATATATTATTAGTCCCACTTTCCAGAAAACTTACATCCTTAGTCTCTCTTGCAGCTGGGAAATAGGCTTGTGACCTAGGTTTGACCGGTCAGTTACACGGAGTGAGACTTGTATACAGAAGTGAGCATTGTGAGCAATCATGTATAGTTGAATTTGATGACCTGGTGATCATGTTAACAAAGGTGTTTGGTTTTTAAGGAGTGGCAATGTCAGGGCTTGTGGAATTCAGTCTGAAGTTTGTAGGTGCTCAGTGATGGTGGCAGTGTGTGTGTGTATTTTTTGCTGTTTACCTTCCTTCGTTTTCTCTGATTATCTGGGATTTATGGTTAGATGTCTTATGTTAATTTTGGAATATTTTTGGCCATTATCTCTTCAAATATTTCTTCATTCTCATTCTCTTCCCTTTTTGTGGTCCAAATTACCACTGTGTTCAAAAATTTGATATTGTCCCACAGATCCTGAATATTCTGTTTTTCTTCCACCACTATTTTCTCTCAGTGTTTTGGGATAATTTATATTGACCTATCTTCAAGTTCACTGATTTTTTCCTTGGCTGAGTTGAGTCTACTGATGAGCCATTGAAGGCATTCTTTATCTGTCTAAACTGTTCTTTCTTAGAGTTTCGATCTCTCTACTGAAGTTACATTGTCCGTGTTGTTCTCCTTTTGGGTTAGAGCCCACAACATATATAGTATTTCACATTTAATTTTAGATATTTTCAACATCTGTTTAATTCTGTGTCTGTTTCTGATAAGTTCTTTGTCTTTTCTCAGTGCTTTTTTTCTTTGCCTTTTTTAATACCTTGTGATTTTTTTGCTGCTGTTGCAAGGCTGACTTACTGTGTAGAACACTAGAGACTGAGGTATATAATTTATGTCTCTGTAAATGGGCATGTCTTTCCTTCTGTTAGGCCTTTAGTGCTGGGATTTGAATTAATCTAGTTAGGAGTTGGGCTGGGTTTGAGGGTTTTTTTGTTGTGGTTACTCTCAGTATACTTCAGTCTTCAAATTCTCTGAGGGGTACTTTGTGATTAGGGTGGGAGTTGGTTTACCAGAACAGTATATGTTCAATTTTAAATTTCATGTCTCCCCTCTAAACTGTGCCTTAGTGAGGGTCTCTTTACATGTTCTCAGTTTTTTTCCTGTCTCTCTCCCAGTAGGATTCTGCTGTTACTGTTTCTGGAAGTTTGTTAGCTTGGAGAAGGGGAGGAGTGGTTGGGTATGGTCTCTGTTGTTCTGATTAAGCTTCAGATTTAGGCCTGAGTCCCAGGATCTTGCCCCTTCCCTGGCTGTTCTGGTGGGCTCTGTGGAATCCTGCCCCTCTCCCAGGAGTAGAGTTCCCACTCCTCTTCCCACCTGCTTTGAGTTTTCACCATTGTCTTAAGGGTAGAAGTAATCTGTCTTTTCCTTCACAGAGGAAGGCTTGTCTTCCATAGTGGAGATAGGGGAGAAATGATATGAGTGTTGAGTCTTGCCCCTCAGGCCTTGCTGCTGTTCTGTCCCCAGGTCTGCATCACAATGGGCACTCTTCACTCAGGGGTCTTTCCTCTTTGAGTGCCTGGGGTGGGAAGGTTGGTGGAGGAAGACCATGCAGAAGGTTGGGGTCTCCCCAATTTCTACGACCCCTCCCCCCAGTGGTTTTGCACTGTCCTTTCAGCAAGCCACGCCAGCTTTCACCTTTTTGCTAACTATTCTACCTGAACTCCTGTTTGGTGTCCAGTTGGAGTCTACCCTAGGTGAGTACATGGTTGTCTTGTCTCTCCCTGCAGGCACTGTCTCTACTTATTTTTTGAGCTAACTGGTTGCTCTATGTTGGATCTACAAAAAGTCATGAATTTGAAATTAGTTCAGCTCTTTTTCATTGTAAGGGGGTACAGCTATGCTCCTTGTATTTTTTATTTTTTATTTCAGAGTATTGCGGGGGTACACACACTTTGGTTACATGAATGGTGGTCTTCGCACCACCCAAGTCAGAGCTACAAGCGTGCCCATTCCTCAGACACCATTAGGTGTGAGTTTACCTACCCCCTCCACCTCCTTCCCAACTGCTCGACATCCATGAATGTTACTTTCATATGTGCGCATAAGTTTTGATTGATTATTACCAATTTAATGGTGAGTACATGTGGTGTTTGTTTTTCCATTCTTGTGATATTTCACTTTAACATGAGTGTTGACTTACATCTAAGCTTAATTATTATTCCTATCCTCCTGAATAAGACCAAGATTTTAGAATGGATTACTTCTTAACCCTCATCCCCTCTTCCAAGTTAATGTTATTTATACCTTAGTTTTGCCTTGTTTAAGCCACCTTAAACCTATAAAAATAGTGAATATATACTCATCAATGTGTTTTTCAAGTTTCTTTGCTCATTGTTCTTCATTCACTCCATTTCTTTCTTCTTGGTTCAGTTTCCCTCTTTATGAAGAGTGTTCTGAAATATTTAATATTTCTTTCAGTAAGGGTCTGTTAATAGTAAACTTGGTATTGATGTTTCTGAAAGTGTCTTTACTTTTTCTCCTGAATGATTGTTGACTTGGGTATAACATTTTGGGTTGACAATTATTTTCCCTGAGAACTTTGACAATGTTATTATTTCGTGTTTTTTCAAGTCTTGTTTGTTAATAAGAAGTACGTAATCATTTTAGTTGTAATTTATTTGTAGGTGAATAATTATCTTTTCTCTTGGGCTATTTTTAAGATTTTTTTTCCTTGTTTCTGATCTGCAGTTTTGTTTTTTTTGTTTTTGTTTTTTGCAATATCTCTTGATGTGGATTTTTTAATTTATCTTGGTTTTATTTGGAGTACTCCATTAGTCTGAGGACTCATGATGTTTTCAGTTGTGGAAACAGATCTTCGCCATTATCTTTTTTTTTTTTTTTTTTTTTGAGACAGAGTCTCACTTTGTTGTCCAGGCTACAGGCTAGAGTGAGTGCCGTGGCGTCAGCCTAGCTCACAGCAACCTCAAACTCCTGGGCTCGAGTGATCCTTCTGCCTCAGCCTCCCGAGTAGCTGGGACTACAGGCATGTGCCACTATGCCCGGCTAATTTTTTATATATATATATCAGTTGGCCAATTAATTTCTTTCTGTTTATAGTAGAGACGGGGTCTCGCTCTTGCTCAGGCTGGTTTTGAACTCCTGACCTTGAGCAATCCGCCCGCCTCGGCCTCCCAAGAGCTAGGATTACAGGCGTGAGCCACAGCGCCTGGCCATTATCTTTTAATATATTGTTTCTCCTCCATTTTCCATTTATGGAGCTATTATTTAGATATGTGTTGGAGTTTTTCATTGTTCCTCCATGTTGGCTTGAATTTTCTTTAATATTTTACATTTCTACCTCTTCTGGGTAATTTCCTGACATCTATTTTACAATTCACTAATTTTCTCTTTAGCTGTGTAGTCTATTAATCCATTGTGAAAATAAGTAATTCAGAATCTAAGCTGTTGGAATTCTTAAATTACTTTGACCTTAAAGGAATGTGATTTTTGGGCCTGAGTCACAGCACAGGACAGGCAGTTATAACCTTTCTCTAATTATAGATTAGCCTTCTTCCTTACTTGCATTGTTTTGTAAAATGTTATAAATGACTAAAGGGTGGTAGGGAAGACCCCTTCCCTCTTTACTGTTGATCCTTATTATGGATTAACTTCTCTCTTCTTTCTCTCACATAAAGACATTGTCTTAAGATGGAATGTTAAATATACTCTTTTAAATTGGAAAGGAAATGAAAACAAGCCAGAAGGAAAAGAAAACAAACTGTAACTAGTTAAATTGTTATAACTCATAAACCAACTTTGAATAGAAAATGTTATAATCCTATTAAACTTCTTTGTTTTCTGCCCATATAAGCAAGAACTTAACTTTTAACTTTGGAATACTGACTCCATTTCTCTGGAGTCTGTGTCTCCCAAACAGCTATTCCAAGCTTTTCACTTGAATAAACTCCTTAAAACTGGATCTGATTCTTTCAGTTATTTCAGGTTGACATATTGAAGGTGTCACTAAAAACATTTGCTTATATTCTTAAATTTAAGAATTTATCTCTTTCATTTTCTTTCAGATTTGCTTTTTGATTTTCATAAGGGCATTTTCTTTTCTATGAACATTTAAAAATACAGTTATAAGTCTCCTTAGGATTATTTTCTTAGCTATAGTTCTTGAGGAATGAAATTTCTCATCTCTCATCCCTCCTTTCCTCCAAATTTTTTGCTTATTTCTTTGTGTAGTTTGCAATATTTGACAATTTGGGAATTGTTTGCCTGTGCCTGGGTTGTGAGATGCTCCTTTGGGTGGTTTTGCATGTGTCTCCAATGGGACCCTTTGGGCTCACTGCTTCTGGAGAATTTCTGATCTATTCTCAGATGGTTCTCTTTATTTATTTTTTTTTTTTTTGAGACAAAGTCTCACTTTGTTGCCCAGGCTAGAATGCCGTGGCATCAGCTTAGCTCACAGCAACCTCCAACTCCAACTCAAGCAATCCTTCTGCCTCAGCCTTCTGAGTAGTTGGGACCACAGGCATTCGCCACCATGCCTGGCTAATTTTTTCTATATATTTTTAGTTGGCCAATTAATTTCTTTCTATTTTTAGTAGAGACGGGGGTCTCACTCCTGCTCAGGCTGGTTTCAAACTCCTGACCTTGAGTGATCCTCCCACCTCAGCCTCCCAGAGTGCTAGGATTACAGGCATGAGCCACCACACCCTACCTCAGATGGTTCTCTTGATAAACTGAGAGTAGTGTAAATTTGGACTCCATATTTGTGTAGAGCAAGGACTTGGGTTTTCCCTTCTGCTTTGGTCACTCTTTCTATGTACAGTTCTGGGCTGGTATATATAGCTTTTCTTTTTTCTTTTTCACCCAAGAACAGCCCTTTGTGATTTTTGGCTTCATGCTATTGGTTCACCTCCACCTTCTTTCCCATGCACAGACTTGAGGCAACTTCTCCATTTTCCTGGTCCTGTAATTTTTTAAGTTTGCAGCCGTTGGTGTAGAAGGCAGGAGTGAGCAGATTTTTGTCCTGGGAAGAATCTCATTTAATAGGGAGTAGTTCAACCAATTAAGAACCAGGAAGTAGTTATAACCACAGGCATCCTCTAACTTGAACAGGTTATTTACCAAAAGTTCATTTAGATGTTGATTGTGTAGAGAGCACACTTCACATTATCTGACAGGAACTATGTTACTAAAAAACTGGATTAGTTTCCAGGTAAACCTCAGGAGTCTCTCCTTCCCGTTAATTGCAGTTGAAATTCCTATGGACTTATGAATTCTTTTGGAGTGTAATCAGCATAAAGTAGGTGATTTCTGTTGGAAGGTGCATTTAACATTCTCAGTGCAGAGGCAGTGTGGTGGTTTACAACCTCAGTTGGTTTTCCCTGATGTGACCTGCCAGCTACCAGTACCTGTTAGTTGTTACAAACCCTAGCCACTGTTTTCAAACCTGCCACTCATACTCAGCACATGACCTTGCTTCCACTTCACTGAGAACCTTGAGCCTTCTGGTTAGTTGATTTTCTTCAGCTTCTGGCTCCATTTACAAACTTATCAGCCCCTCCCTCCCCAGATCTGTCCTTTCCTCCTGCCTCAGAGGATGAGATGCTTCTGCTGTTTGAGGCCAGTCCCTTGCCAAGGGAACTCAGCTTTGCTACTTCTTCTTTGGCAATCTTTTTCCACCAGCGTTCCCTCTCTTTCTTCCCTCCTGTTCCCAGCGGTTCTCAATTTGAGGGGGTAGACTTTGCCCCCAGGGGACGTTTGGCAATGTCTAGAGACATTGGTTGTTTCAACTGAGGGGTGGTGGTGATTTGTGTACTGCTGGCATCTAGTGGGTAGAGGCCAGCGATGCTGCTAAACATCCTACAGTGCAAAGAACAGTTCCCACAGTAAAGAATTACCTGGTCCAAAATGTCAGTGGTGTTGATATTGAGTAACCTTGCTGCTTCCACAGGGTCTCACTTTTGATCCCTTTGTTTTTCTCTGCCCATTACGTTATTCCTAAGAAACCTTCCCTGAACCGGATGTCCACTCTTCTCCTAGCTACCTAACCTCCTTCCTTTCTCACCTAAACTTCTGAAAGAAGTGGTCTATACATAATCTGCCTGTCTATTTCTCATTCACTTCTCAAACTTCAGCTGTTGCTTTCTGGCTTCCCACCACCATTACTGCTTAAACTCTTTTTGCTGAGATTGCCTGTGACTTCTTTTGTGCTGCATCGAGTGGATTCATTTAGTCCTAATTTTACTTGACATTTTTGTTGCTCCTGACACTATTAATCACTATCTCCTTGAACCAGTGTATTCTGTTACCATCCTCGTTCTCCATGCCCTTCTCTTATATTTCTTTGTCTGCCTGAACTCCCACTAATCTACTTACTCCTTACATAATACTGTTACCTGGGTTTGACTTCTTAGCCAACGGCTATCATAGGTCATTGTCTCCATAAAGTACCTCAGTTACACCCAGAATTTCAGTTCTACTTATTAGGTTATTAAGTGTAGAGTGTCAGATTTCCTTAAGTACTAAGTTTGACGGTTGATATCTCTGACATTTCACTTTAACACTTCTCTCTTTTTTTTTTAAATTATTGTGAAGGTACATCCTCATTCTTTCAAACACACAGTTTGGCTTGTGATTATCTTTCAATTTTCTTAGAATAATTTTTGTGAAACCATGGATAAGTCTAAAATTTGTGCTATTTTTGAATATGAGTTCCGTCATGGAATCAATGCAGCACAGA